TGGGCCTTTGTTATTGGGCCTAAGTCTGTTTAGTGTTTTAAGCAGTCTGGGTGTCCCATCACTAATCAGGGGCATTCCAGACATTTCATGTAACACTGTATTGTAATCTACTATAAATAATAGTACTGTCGACTGGGTTACTCAGTTCGACATTCTGAGCACTTGTTTGCCTTCACCTCTCTTCTACTACTTCAGCTACAATCTTTCAGCAAACACCTATTACATTTGGTACCATGGAAGATATGCCACAATAAGGTTTTCTAGAACATAGATTATTGTGTACAGTTTGACTATTTGTTTAGAATTTATGGATTCCCACTGCATCTTTGGTTCTAGGAGGTGGCAACATAGATAGAGGAATTGTGCAGTGGCTTCTTGGAGCTTGATAATTTGTTGTAGGCAAAGGAGACAGTGGAATGGATTAGGGTTAAAGCTAAGTAGAAGGGCTATTTTCTGGCAACAGTGAACCTGATTATTAGCAATGAGGTGATGGTAATCAAGGTGTGATTGGAGTTTTTTCTGGAGGTGAGAGAGAAACCAAAAGAATGTGCAAAGGTGGTGGAGATTGAACCAAACTAAATTCAAGAGGTGCTGATGGGGAGAAGTAACGAGGCTGCAGGCAGAAAAAAGCTGAAAGGGATGGATGTGTAGATTCAAGAAGGGGATCAACCGTTATCTATGGTTGGAGAATAGGGAGGTGCAATGGGAGAAAAGAGGAGTACTGACATGACATTTGATAAAGAGCAGGGCCAAGAGGAGCTTCCTCACAACCATCAATCTGTTGAGACACCTAACATCATTATCAGAAAGGAGGGGGAGGAGCCGACAGCTGGTGATTTTTAAATTTCAAATCAAAACCTGATTGAGGTTTTGTCATGATTTTTCTTGAAAAGTTAAGTCACTGTGTGACAAATGCACTTGGTGAAAGCATGTGGATGGATGATTGGAATCGAAGAGGGTGGTGCTGATTGAAGGGATGCATCAAGACATAGGAAGGTGGAGATGGGGACTGATTGTATTACCCAATCAATTCTAGATGTAGAGCAAAACAAGGATTTTTTAAGGCCATGGATCATGAGATTGACACAGAACTGGCGTAAGCCACCTTAAGAGGAGGGGGATGAAGAGGAAGAAGAGGGAGGATCTCATTTTCATTATTTTTAATATTTTTTTTGTATTAACAAGAATGAAGTTGCATAGCACTAGTTGAAAGAGGAAGAAGAGGGAGGATCTCATTTTTCTTTATTTATGATAATTTTTTTTGTATTAAGAAGAATGAAGTTGCATAGCACTAATTGAAAGGCAGGGTCTTGTCGAGACCAGAGTCAGCATATGTCACCCTCGACCCACTTTCTTTCCCTTTATCTTTCCTTCCCTTCCTTCCCTTCCCTTTCCTTTTCTTTTCTATCTTTTTCTCTTTTTTCTACTGTTTCTTTTTCTTTCCCTTCCCTTTCTTTTTATTTCTTTTTTTCTTTCTTTTTATTTGTCTTTTTATATGAGGTGTGTGTGAGGCGCATGAAGCGTATGCCTCTAGCACGCCTCATGAAAAAAGTGTATGAGGCGTACACCTCTTGCACCTGAGGCATACGCCTCAGAGGTGTTAATGCCTATGGTATACACCTTAGGGTGTTTTGGGGGCTCTTCGCCTGGAGGCACCCCTCTAGGTGTACGCCTCCAATGCCTTTCAAAATACTGAAGCACTCCAATGATTCCCAAAATGAAACGGTTTTGATGGAAAGAAATCATTGTTCAGAGGAACTTACGGAAGGCAACAAGGAACTTCCATTAATTGTGGCTAATGACCTTTTCGAAATGTTAGCCAAATACATCATTGGGGGTGGTTACCCTTAAGCAGTGATGCCATCAGATGTCTAGGGGATATTGATTTCAAAGAAATGCTTTCCAATTTGAAGACGGGAAGGGGGAAAAGAACTATCTTTTGCAGGAGAAGATCTCCCATTGGGTCCTATTCAAATTGCTTAGTTTTGGGACAACTTCAGATTGTCTGGTACTCTGGTTTTATAAATGGATATGCTAACAATTTTATCTTGGAAAATACTAGGTCTGAATTCGGGGCATAGGAGTATGGTAGTAGGGTCTTCATCAAACAATGGAAGCTTAGTGTGCAATGTCTTCAAGAAATGAATATGCAAAATCTAGATACATGGGTGGTTAAGGAGCACCTAAGGAAGTCATAACTGTGAATGGGAATCAATACCAAAAATCTTATCATGCGAGGTAAGATGGCAGGGGTCTTCTTGTTGTTTGTTCTTTTCCAATGTGTAGAGGATGGATGGGAATGGCTGCTGACTGTGGTGTATTTTCGAAATGAAAATGGAGTATAGAGTGCGTTTTTGAGAGAATTGGATGAGGTTAGGGAAAGATGGGATGGGCCACGAATGGTGGGAGGAGATTTCAGCACCATTAGATATGTGTATGAGATTTGAATAAGAAAGAGGGAAATAGGAGACAGAGGTATGAGGGGATTTGCAGGATTTATGAGGACATGGGAGATGGTTGGTTTACAGTTGCTGAGAACCAAATATATGTGGACAAATCCAAGATGAGGCCACCTTGGTAAAGTTGGTCAGGCTTGTGATTTCTTTTGAGTGGGAGGAGAGATACCCTTGTCTGTACTAAGAAGCCCCGTAACAATCACTATTAGACCATTCTGCCATTTGCTTGGATTGTAATGGCATTTCTCCTAAGCCCTCTCCTTCATTTTGAGCATGCATGGTTAGAGAAGATGGTTTCAGAGTTGATCAGGCAGTAGTGGGGATGAGATGAATTTTGTGAGTTCAGTCATCCACATTTCATGGAAAATTAAAAGGTTTGAAAGAAATTTGAAGAAGTGAAGAAATAGAGTGGAGGTCAAGATGCAGAAATGTTTGGATGCTTTCAAGGAGATAGAAAGATCCAAAGGATAGATATTTGAGGAGGAAAAAAAGAAGAGTATGGTGCACAGTTGTGCAATCTAAAGTTGCTTTCTTTGTCTGGTCAGCCACTTTGACAGAATCGTGACTAGAGAATATCTGGTCCAAAGAGGGATTGAATCATCATCATCTGAGCCTTAACCCAGCTATATGGGGTGAGCTAATGATCATAAGAGTTTGGCAAATGTTTTAGTGCCAGCTGCCAACCTGATGCAACCTTCCTCCTTTATCTGGGCTTGGGATCAGTAATGTAAGACATGCTCACACTGGCAGAGTTTCCAAGGAGAGATCAGATACCTAATACAAATTGTGCTAAGTTTGGAGACAGTCGGCCAAAACATTACAGGACTGTCCAGTGAGGAGTTGCTTCCCTGCCTCTATTGCAGATTTTATAAGAGGGTGGTACTTGAGAGGGCTGAGTAAGCAAGGAAAAGTAGTAGACCATCATCTGTTGGTAGTTTCAAGCATTACTATAAATATGCTTAGTTGATTATCATCCACAAAAAATTTACATCTCAGTATACTTTCAATTCATGCAATGCCTCCTACTTGATTTCTTTGGAGTTTTAACAAGTCATAATTTTCTGCAATAATTTACATCTCAGTGTTAAATTTGTCATTTTTTCTAATATTTCTAGATCAATATTTGGTCATTACTTTATTTTCTTTGGAGTTTTAACAAGTCATAATTTTCTTGAATCAGACTGATGGAAAAGTTAAAGACAAACTTGACAATTGGTTTTCGGATATGTCTCAACCATTCAACAAGTATTCACATCATTCTTCAGTTGTGAAGGTAAGAGCACTACGAATTTGTCTCCATTGAGTTTAGAATTTTCATTAAGCTTCAGTTAAGAAAATCATTTACTCTCTAAATGATCTTAACATCAATTGTATGTTTTCATTTTCCGAATGAAGCCAATTTTGACTAAAGGTAATAATAGTTTCTTTTTCTGAAAATCAATTTTCAAATGTGTGGATACTATTAGTTCTATGAAGGTTTTAATTGCTACAAATAATATTTCAACTTGATGTGTAGACGGGAATAAGGAAATCCAAAACATTTTGTCAATTTTCTTTCTAGATATGAGAACCAATGTCTTGATCTAATGCAATGTTGTCTATGTCAATTCATTTATGATAATCAAACTTATTTATTTGTTTGAAAAAGATGAAATTTTGCAAAATGTACCTTGGCTTATAGAAACAGGAATCCTAAAAAAAATGATTTGTAAGTTTTCTTGAAAAAAGGTGACTCATGAAGGAAGACAAATGGGGAAAGCTTTGACAACCAATCAAAGCGAAGGGACCAAGTTTGAAGATGTTTCAGAGGAAGACTTAGAAAATAATTTCTGGGCTCTCTTAGAGTTAGATCATGGAAGCTAATCGAATTGTACTTTTTGTTTTCTTTTGCTTTATTTCTTTTCTTGCTGATCTCTCATCACCCCATGGATGTACCTTTTTTCCTTATTTATAAAGTTTTCTTTGTTGAGATATTGGGCTGGACAACTCTTTAGCTGTTTCTTTTTTTACTTTTTACTCTAGCAGCCGCCTTACTAGGGTTATTCTTGTAATCTTCTTCCTAATTATGTTTAGATCTAATAAAACAAAGAAAGTGGACTAGGAATTAGCCATGATCTCTTCTTCCTAATGTATTACACATTGTATCTCTAAGCACCTTTCTTATGGCTTATTATCCCCCTCTCATTATTCCTTTTTAGCCTTTGTTTGTTCTTAGCACATACCAAAAAAATGTGTTAGAAGCATTATCTAAACTAGAATGAAGGGATGCAATGAATGCTGAAATGGAAGCACTTTGTAAGAACATGTGGGAGATTGTTGATTTGCTTGAAGGCATGACCACATGAGCTGCTAGGTTGTAAGTGGGTATACACTATTAAATACCAGGAGGATGGATCGATTGAGAGGTATAAAGCAAGGCTGATTGCTAAGGGTTATATTCAAGAGCAAAGTTTTAAGACACGGAGGGTTGATGCAAGGCGTTCCACTACCTAGAGGAAGGAAGATCTCATTTTTTTTTCTATTTTTAATAAAAATATTTTATATTAAGAAGAATGAAGATGCATAGCACTAGTTATATCAATCTTTTTTTTTTTAATAAAAGTCTTTTCTTCCCTTCCCTTTCCTTTCGTCTTTTTATATGAGGTGTGCATGAGGCATACGCCTCTAGCACGATTCATAAAAAAAGCATATTAGGCATACACCTCTTGCACTTAAGGTGTATGTCTCAGAGGTGTCAACACCTTTGGAATATGCCTTAGGGCATTTTGGGGATGCCTTGCCTGGAGGTGTACACCCTCCACGTCTTCTAAAATTGTTCAAGAGTATGGGATTGATTAACTTGAGATTTTTGTTCCCATTGCCAAAATGAATTCTATTTTGGTTCTTGTCTTTGTCAGCTTCTTTGATGTGAAAAATGCCTTTTTGAAGGGAGACCTTCATTAAGTGTATTTTTCTCTTACTCTAGGCATGTATGGTAAGGAGTTAGCAGGAAAGGATTGTCGACTGAGGAAACCTCTCTATGGGCTCAAACAATCTCAACGAGCTTGGTTTGAGAGATTTTTAAGGCTTCGTTTAGTTTATAGGATAGGAGGGAAAATATGGAATATTCTTCCCTTCCCATGTTTGGTTTGTGGGATGTCATGAGAGATTATGGATCCCAATTCTTGGAATGTAGGATCCCACCATTTTGGTAGGAAACAAGTGGTAATGCAGGGGGAAACTTGTTTAAGAAAAGAAAACACATATCTTGCAATATTTTTGAGTGTTAATATTAGATTGTGACCTATTAATAAATTATTGATTATTTAAACAAATATTACTAAAAAAATTTAATCAAAATTAATTAATAAACAAATTATTAATAAAATACTAATCAATTAAAAATAATTTAATATATAAGAATTCGATAATAAAATTAGCAATTAAGTGAAAATATTAATAATAAAATATAAACTAATAAAACTTAAAATATTATAATTAATATTTAATATAAAACTTAAAGAGGTGCGGCAGACAAACAAGTCTATTCCAGACAAAAGTCAAATGGAAATGGAAACACTTAAAGAGGTGCGGCAGATAACATCCCCGCCAAGTCTATTGTTACTTAACTAGTTAGCAATATTAATTAATTAATAAAATATTACTTCTTCCAAACTCTCTCTTCTTCTTCCTTGCTATTCCAGACTTGTTTTCTCTTATTTTTTTGATTAAACACATTGATTTTTAGAAAGCAAAGTTATAAACCTGGTTGGTTGACAAGTGAATTAGTCTGATCATCCAATTCAAATGTTGCTTAAAAACATTGATATAAACTACAAGTAGGAAGCTTTGAAGCTGGATCTTCAAGTTGAAGGGCAAAAAATCCACCACTACATGATGCTTTGATTATTTGCCTTTTGTTGTTATTATTGCTATATTTGAGCAATAATGTGAATATTATTAATACATCAACTTATAAGAAGTATATCGTGATGTTGTAGAAGAACATATCATTCTCATCTAGTCGTGATGTTGTTGTTCTTTATAACGTTTGTGTACATGACCCTATTCATTAATGCCTGCAAGACGTGCTGAATGATCACATGCAGTAATGTCATTCTTGATTTGTCTATTGTCTACAGACTTGTATAATTAGCTTATCCTGCTAAGATTTTTCATGGTGAAATAGAGGGAAACTATTGCTTCTTGAGTGCTTGGGATTTGAGTTCTTTTGTGGCATATTAGAATTTACAGTTAGTCTAAATATTAACTTTCAAATATCCTTGCAGTCAGTATTATGTGCAGGTCTATATCCTAATGTAGCTGCCACTGAAGAAGGTATTGTTGGCTTCACTTTGGGCAGCACCCAGAAACCATCTGCTAGTACTGGAATAAAGGGTTGTCCTTTCTGGTACGATGGAAGAAGAGAAGTTCAGATTCACCCTTCTTCTATCAACAGTAACATAAAAGCTTTTCAGTATCCATTTCTTGTCTTCCTTGAAAAGGTTTGCCCAAACGTAGACTCTGGAACATAATTAATTTCCTCATCTAATATACAGTTTGTTTATTTACAGCTTAAATAAGCACAATCTATTAGAACAATGTGTTCAATTATTCAATGAGAAATAGTGAGAGTAGATGATGAGGAAGAGATGAGAGAAAGATTAGAGAGCCAAAATCTGGGCTGGTGGTGCCTAGAGATTTATTTATAATAGGGCAACAACTAATATAAAATAAAATTACAATAGTGCTCCTATGTCACAATCTACTAGAAAAATGCAATGCTCCCAGTTGTATATGTGAATTATGCCCGACTTGTCACATAATTCGTTGTGCCTCAAATAGTGAAGGCCTTTTGTAACAATATCAGCAAATTACTCCTTTGAAGTTTGAACTAACATACAGAGTACACACTTCACCCTTTTCAAGTTTCTCCCTTATAAAGTGTTTGTTGATTTCAATGTGTTTTGTTCTATCATGGAGGAAAGGACTAACTGCAATATTTATGGTTGCCTTCTTCTCACAATAGAGGAACATAGGGTTGTCAACATTAAACCCTAGTTTCCCCAAGCTCTTCACCAAAGCACGTCGGCAACTCCATGTGCCATAGCCTTATACTTAGCTTCCACATGTCATTAAGTTTCCTCCAAGAAAGGTACAATATCCACTAGTGGTTTTTCTGTCATCCATAGATCTTGCCCAGTTTGCATTAGTGTAAACCTCTACTTTCAGATGATTATGCTTCCTAAACAACAAACCAATACTTGGATACTTCTTCAGGTACTTGAGAATCCTCTTTGTAGCTTTTATATGAGAAACCTTAGGAGAATGCATATACTAACTAAAACTCTCACAACATAGGTGATATTAGGGCGTGTCATAAATAGATACAGTAGCCTTCATACTAGCCTCTGTACCTCCTTTACTTCCTTTAATGGTTCCCATCACAATCTCCTAGTCAATTATTAACATACTAGTTGGCTTTGCTCCTAGTTTACTTGTACCTTGCTAGAGATCCAAGATGCATTTTCATATAGAAATGAAGATATCCTTTTGTGTATAGGCAACTTCAATCCCATGAAGATATCATTGGGGCCTTAAATCTTTCACTTCAAATTGAGTAGCCAAAAAACTCCTTTAATTTTTGTATCTCAGAACTCTAATTACCTATGATGATAAGACTAGCATATCTAAACCCCACCTATTGAACCATAATATGAAATCTATTAAACTGAGCTTTAGGAGATTGTTTTAAGCCATACATAGCCTTCTTCAACCTACACACTTGTCTTCACTGCCTTTGGCATGAAAAACCTAGTGGTTGAACCATATACAATTCCTCTTCTAAGTCACCATTTAGGAGGGCATTTTTTATGTCAAGCTGATGTAACTCCCAATCCAAATTAGCAGCTAGTGATAGAAGAACTCAAATGAAATTCATCATTGCTATAGGAGCAAAGGTCTCAACATAATCAATACCAAAGGCCTAAGTATAATCTTTCACCACCAATGACGCTCACTACATACAAAATATTTGGCCGAGTCATACATAGATACAACTTCCCAAGTATCTCTGGAACACTCTCCTATCAACCAACAATTCACCGCCAGTGACTGAGAGCTTGCAATTTAAGTATATAGGTGTAGAAGCAGGCTTACCAAGTTTGCCAGTCTCAACAATAAGATCAAGACAGACTTGCGTTGAGAAGTGAATATACCTTCCTTAGACTAAGAAACTTCTTGAGGCCAAGAAAGGTCACCAAAGAATACAGAAGAAAAACAGTCTTTTGAGAATAAAGGACTGTTTAGAACAGATGCAGAAATCAAAATAAAATAACAGAAATCATTCTTCTAAGGAAGAGAAGATGAAGAAGAAGATGGCGGCAATAGGGGTTCAGAGTAAGAGAGTTTCGAACCTTAATTTCCACTCTTACACCCCTAACACTATTTTATGAAGTTAAACTTTGATAATTTACAAAGAGGCCCTTAGTTGGGCAAAAAATTAAAAGAACATAACATAGAAAGAATAGGCCCAGAATAAGGCCCATTACAGCAAAGAACATAAAAGATAAAAAGGATAAACAGCCTATGGGCCATTTGGCCCATCTTCTCTACAAATACCTAGGCCTAGGAGACTAGAAAGAAGGCTATGGCAGTTCCTCACTAGAAAGAAGCTATGGATGCTGAAATTCAAGCCCTCACAAAAAATGATACATGGGATCTTGTTCCTACACCCTCAGATGCTTCAATCATTGAGAGTAGATGGGTATATTCCATCAAATTGAAATCAAATGATAGTCTTGATAGATACAAAGCTCGCTTAGTTGCTCAAGGATATAAACAAGAATATGGGATTGACTATAGTTGTAAATCATACCAACAATAATCCAAATTAAAAGAAATAAGGAGATTGAAGAGAGAGAAGTAATGGAGGAAGAAGATGGAAGAAAGGAAGAAGAGAGAGTAGTTCTAAACCTCTCTTCAGCCCCCAATGATCTCTTTTATTCTTTTGTTGTAAAAAATAAGGACAATTACATGAGTGCCCTTAGTAGGGCGTCCATCACTAAAGACAACAATAAAAAACAATAAAAAAGAGAAAACAGGCCCATAACTAAGGCCTACTACCTACTAACACAAGTCATAAACATAAGTTATGGAAAAACACGTCATCTTTGCTACAATTTCAAAGGTGACTATAGTTCAATTGGTGTTGGCTATTTCAGCAATTTAGTAGTGGGACATCCATCAAATGGATGTTAAGAATGCTTTCCTTCATGATCATCTCAAAGAAACAATGTTTATGAAGCCTCCTCCGGGATATTGTGGTGATCCAACTATGTTCTATTACCTCAAGAAATCTCTTTATGGGTTGAAACAAGCACCTCAGGCATGGTTTCAACAATTTCATTCTGTCATTACAGATGTTGGGTTTCTACAAATTCCTTTTGACTATTCTCTCTTCATTCTGAAGCGGACCCAACAAATCATCTTTCTTCTTTATGTTGATGATATACTTATTATCAATGATGATCATGACGGTATTTCTCACCTCAAGAATCTCTTGAGTCACTCTTTCAAGATAAAAAATCTTGGTCATTTGACTTACTTCCTTTGATTGGAAATGGCCTGTTCTTCTCAAGGGTACCTGTAAATCAAAAAAAGTATTTTATGGACTTGGTTAACCTTGCTTGCCTCACTAATGATAAGCAAGTGGATACTCCTCTTGAGGTGAACTTCAAACTTTCTAAGGATGGTGGTGAATGTCTTCCGAATGCTACATTATATCGACAACTTGTTGATAGTCCCATCTACCTCACCATGACAAGGTTGGATATCTCTTATGTTGTTCAAATTGTCAGTCAATTTATTTATTCCTCCAGACAACCACATATAACCATAGTTCTTCGGATCATTTGGTACATTAGGGGTACTATCTCTCTGGACTTCTTTTCTCATCATCTCTACATCTATCAGCCTATACTAATGCAAATTGGGCTAGATGTCCTGACACTAGAAGATCCACTATTGGATGGTGTGTTTTTATAAGTGATTCCCTTATCTCTTGGAAATGCAAGAAACAACAAACAATTTCCAAATCCTCTATTGATGTAGAGTATCGAGCCATATAGTCAGTCTGTAGTGAAATTGTGTGGCTTAGAGCTCTTCTTGGTGATCTCCATATGCAGCCCCCAACTCCCATTCCCATCCATGAAGATACTGTCAGTGCCATCAAGATTGCCTCTAATCTTGTTTTTCATGAATGTACTAAACAAATAGGTGTCAATTTTTACTTCATTAGAGATCAATACCTTGTTGGAATTATCACTCTTCCTCATGTTTCATATGGTCTTCAACTTGTTGACATCTTTATGAAGGCTATGATGCATCCTCGCACCTAAAATATTGATGTTTTTTTCTCGGTATCAGTTTGAGTGGGTTGTCGAGATACTATGGGTTGACTTTGTTGGGAGTATTATATTACCATGTACCTTATGTACAATATCTTTTATTTCTCTTTTGTACAACTCTTTCTTATTTGTTTTAGTGGAGGGCAATTTTGTCCTTTCCCTTCTCTTGTACCCAAATAATATATAATACATCTTTTGGGTGTGTGCACATTAGACACACCCTTTCAACTTCTCTATGCAGTTCGACTATCTCTATCACCATTAGCATGGTACTTAACAATAAATACCCATTTACAACCAATTAGTTCCTGCCCTTCAGGTAAACCCACAATTTCCTAGGTAATGTTCTTACGTAAAGCATCTATCCCAATCATCATAGCATCCCTCCATTCTAGTTTAGATAAGTCTCCTGAGACAGATTTAGGGATGGCTTGTGTAGAATAGAGATTAAGAAGGAATAATAGGTCATAGAAAAGAGATTATAGGATAGGTGTTTGGAGATGCAATGGGCTATACACTTCCGTTTCCCTTTTCTGAGGGCAATAGGAAGGTCTAGGTCTGGGAGTGTGTTGGTGGGAGCAGAAGAGGGCCAGCCTGTCATCTCATTAGTGATGGGAGGTGCAAGAGGCTTAGTTGAAGATGTGGAAATAACTTTCTCATGCCTGAGTCATTGTTTTTCATACCACCTTTGAACAATGGGATCAAAGATAAAAGTAGGAAGATGAGCAGGAGGAGTAGGAATATGTGAAGAAAACTCAATAGGAGGAGATGCAATAGGAGTAGTAACTCAATTGGATATGGAAGAGGAATAGTTGGGGATAACAACAATATTCCTTCTATGTGGAGGCATATCGTAGAAAAACACACTTATGAGCCTTAGGTTCAAACTTATGCCTTTGGTGGCTATGAACATGAACATAGCAAGTACACCCAAAAACCCGAAGAGGAAGAGAGAAAAGGTCCTCATCAGGGAAGAGAAAGCTAAAGGAGGTCTTAAAACCCAAAACTCGGTAAGGCATATGGTTTATTAGATATGTAACAGTAAGAAAATCCCCCTAAAATTTCACAAGAACATGAGATGCAAAATGCAGGCTTCTGACAACCTCAACCACATGACGATTCTTCCTTTCCTCCACTCCGTTTGTTGTGGACTGTGGAAAAAAGAACTCTGATGAATAACCCCAAATGTATCAAGGTAGGATGAAAGATTCCTCTCAAAATATTACTCAGCATTGTCAGAGTGGAATACTTTGATACGAATGTTAAGTTGGGTAAGGATAAATTTGTGACAGCGTTGCACAATGGTTAATGCTTCATCCTAGGACTACATGGGGTAAGTCCAAGTGAAGTGTGAAAAATCATCTACAAATAGAATGGAGTATATGTAGTGTCCCATAGCAAGTAAATGATATGGAACCCACACATCAGTGTACACAATATGAAAGGTGAAATTGATCTTTTATTACTCAATGAATAAGAATGTCTACAATGCTTAGCAAGTTCACATTGATTCACAATGAAGACTAGACAAAGGTATCCCTTTAAACAATTTTGAAAACAAACGAGTCAAAGAAAAAAAAAATAAGATAGATGACTAAAATGTAAATGATATAACATGACCCGATTAATAGAATGATGAAATAGACTCCAAAGGCACTCCATGAGGTGGTACAAGACTCTTGTTACGTGTATCCAACAAGTATATTCCATTAACCTCATGGCCACTCCCAATTGTTAAATGGGTTTTTAAGCATTGCATTCCTTTGCATCTAAATTTATTTGTTTACATCTGAGTTACTTTGGACACTTAAATGGTATCAGCATTCTTTTAATTTGTTCTGGTAGATCATTGGTATAATTTCTATGATCAGAAGTATGATTTACAAGATATGTAATTACTTATCCTTTCTGTATGCTACACCAAGGGTTTTTATTTGGAAACATGAGAATAAGTGTTCTCTATATGGGAGAACTACATTTAAAATAGTTCTGATTTAAATGCATAAAATGCAAATTTTCCAAATGAGTAATGATCTATAATATTCTCAGGTCGAAACTAACAAAGTCTTTCTTCGAGATACAAGCATCATATCTCCATACTCTATTTTGCTCTTTGGTGGTTCTATTAACATCCAGCATCAGGTATACCCTTATTTCTCCACCATGCACTAGTGTCTATATCTTCTACAGTTGCCAATTACTTGTTTCAAAATAAGTTGCCTTGGAAAATTTTAATCAAGTTGTACGTCACATCAATTTTTTCTATCTGTACACAGACATAGAAGACTACAATTTGAGTTTTAAAATAACTTGGAATTTCATTAATAATACTTGTGTATAACAATGAATGAAAACAACAAAAGTAGAAGAGATTAGGTAGAAGAGAGAAAGAAAGAGAAATTAGGTAAAGCATGAGCCTCCTTTCCATTATTCATACATAGTGTTTATTAAAAGAGAAATGACCAGAATGCTCATGATCATGCACCTGTTAATTACACAACTTCTCAACTCTGTACCTCAAGCTGAGTAAAGATATTAATGGTGTTGGATAGTGTATGCCCTCGAAATCCAATAATTGTTGTAAATCTCTTTTGTTATGAAAAAAAAGATTTCTTTGTATAATGACGTGTCATGTGTGATTATTTCTATGAATGGCCTGATCTACATCTCAGAGTTATGATCAGTCACTGGTTTCAGCCACTTAGAGACATGACATAATCAGCATGTGGACTAAAATATTCTTAACCATTGGCTAGACCTAAGGTGGTTTAGCTTGAGAAGGTTGACATGCATACACTGCCTTGTGAGAAGGGACTTTGCTCTATCTGATAAATCTGTAACACTACTGACAAAAATAATACTATTTTGGTTGTTAATAAACAAAAATAACAAATATATCAATATTTACCAAAAAAGAATATTTTGAAAATATCCTTCCTATCCTTTGGGTTGGCATTTGTATATGACTTGCTTGCATTCATTATATCTAGTCCACCTTGGTTGATGGCTCCCTTTTACTCCTGAAACCTGACCATCCAACTCATTTACCTGATCCAACTGTCTAATCTATATACATCATTTTCATGTATTACAATCATGTTTACCTTGTCCACATACCATTTTCATGTCTTTGTAACCCATATGATAAAACCTTGTTAAAATCTTAGAATTTCTTTGTTTCTGATGCACCTATAGATGAATAATGTCTCCTGATGGTTTGTTTTGTAGACTGGAATGGTTGTTATTGATGGTTGGTTGAAACTGAAAGCACCAGCCCAAACTGCTGTGCTTTTCAAGGAACTCCGGTTAACACTTCATGCTGTTCTAAAGGAGCTGATTAAAAAGCCAGAGGTGCCTTTACCTTTTTCTTCTATTTGCTTCAGTTGTCCCCTAAAAAATCATTATGAAATAATTGCTCAAACCATCTGTACAGAAGTTTGGAAATTAGTCAATTTATCACATAGAAATTGATAAATCGAAATCATCAATTTCCATCAGATTATCTTGATTGTTTTATTTATTCCATGTCTAACTATGATCTAAGAGGATATTATTAGAGCAATAAGAAATATAAACCCTTCTACATGGAAGAGACAAGTGAAGAAGGTAAAGATAAAGAAACAAAGCTGATGTGCTATATGGAGTTACAGCTAGAAGTGAAGATACTTAGCAGACCACTGCTTCACCCAAAGACTTGGACTCCTCATACAAGTTCAACCCTCTCTTTCCCCAACCATTGCAAGTGGATGGAAAGGTTATTCAAAAATCTTGGTATTCATCTGAACAAGTTGTCCATCCTAGATATCAATGACCTAGCATATTTGGTGTCTCAACTGCCAAGGGCCATAAGGATGTTGGCATATTGCTAGAAATCCAATCAGTTAAAAACGGTCACTATCTACTATCAAAACAGATCTCCCGATGAGAATTCCAGTTTCAGTCCATGCAAAACTAACAATATGCTGGGTTGCTCAATAGCTCAGTGGCCAATTAAGCATCCTGGTCTCCCTCTTCAAGGTAACCCTAAGGTCTTAACCTTTTGGAATATGGTAGTGGACAAATTCCCTGAGAGTCTTGCTACATGTAAGAAAAACTATATTTCCTTAGGAGGGAGGATTAGTTTAATTAAATCAGCACTAACCAACTTACCCATTTACTACCTTTCAGCCTTTAGAATCCCAATTGAAGTAGCAAAGAGGATAGAAAAAACTCATGAGAGATTTTCTATGGAGCCAGGAGACCAAGAAGAACTTGATAAATTGGGAAACTGTCTCCTGAAAGAAGTTAGGAAGTTTAGGATTGGCAAGGATTATGCTCAACAACTTTTCTCCTCTAGGAAAATTGTCTATGGCCTTTATCTATTGATTTGGATAAAGTTTGGCACTTAGTCATCAAAAGTATTCATGGTGTCAACTCCAGTGGTTGAGATGTAGGGTCATATGCAAGAGCAATTTTGTCTTCTCTTGGAAATCTATTGTTGCTTTGGCTGCATTTGGTAAGAGTGCAAATGCACATATGTATTGTTCATGAAAATGAAAGCTTGATTTGGTTTTGCATCGTTAAATTTTATATTCTTATGAAACACATTTAGTTGTGATGGGTACAAACACAAATTTCTAGACTGGAATCTACTTTTTTTACATTGATCAACTTCGAGTGCAAAAGTTTGCTTCCATTTTTGGAAGCAAAATTTGCTCCCATCTTGAATGCAAAAAATGTCAGAAAACAAATTCACTTTCATTTAGAGGAAAAAATAACAGCAAAAATAAAGAAAAGACAATAGATTGAGTGTAAGAAGAGAAGAAGAGAGGCTAGAGAAATAGGAAGAAGATATGAGAATGAAGAGGTTTTGGAGAAGAGAACATTTGAATCTCTCTCTCTCCATCCCCTCAATTGTGTATTTCACTTTGGTGTTATTATGAGTACTGTTAGAAGTGTTATGTTAGTGTAGGGATATTTCTGTCTTTATACCTTGATTGATGTTGCTGATCTGTAATGTTGTGTTGAAACATGTGCTCTTAACTTAAG